TCCTTGTACCTCGCTCCCCTTCCTTCCCTCAGCTTCTGGCACCCACCCTTCCATACATCTGTCCCACCCATCTATTTCTCCACCTGGGCTTCATCTTCTTAGGTCTAACCCTCTGCTCCCCAATCTCTGCACCCGCATCACAGGCTTCCTCCAAGTTGACATAGGTCAAGCCCCAAGTCTGTCCTCCATTTCGGGTCTCCCCTTCCAACCCCCCTCCAGATCTCCCAAGGCCCATCTCTGCACCTTCCCTTTTCCTCTCACCCCAGAGCTGCAAGGCTCTTTGGGCTCAGACGCCGGCATCGCTGCTGCTTTCCCTGGGCCGTGCGTGGGGCCAGAAGCAGCGATGCCACAGAGGGAGTTGAGGCAGATGGGCGAGCCAGCCAGCGACTGGCTTACAGCCTTGTCCTGAAGTCTTGACACATCCAAAGCTCAACGGGAGCCAGTTGATTTCTGCCTGACCTCCATCTATGCATTTCTTCCCTCCTCCACCCCAATTGATATGACAGGGCAGCACGTGAATTATTCTGGTTCCAGGCAGTAACAACCAGGAAGTCAAGCCAAGCCGCTTCGTCACAGACCAAGTGAAGGAGAAACTCTTGAGCCAGACAGTGGTGGCCTTGGGACATCGTCAGAGAAATTACAACACACGGACACACAAAGTAAAAATAGATTGTGTTGTGTGGAGTGAGAGGCTGGGCCAGGGCTGTCTTACCTTTCTGTTGAGTACCTAGTACACTCTTGGTGTGTGCCCGCAACCCCCCGGCTTGCTCGTGCGCACACGTGCACATGCACATGCAGTTGTACAACTGAGACTGTTTGGTCCCTTAGTGTCACTTGAAAATGGAATTTCCCAGTTCAAATGGACTAATTTAGGGGTAGTTAGTTCCACAGCATGAGGCCCCATCTGTATGCAGGAGTCCAGCACTCCGATTGGCTGATCAGTCCTTTATGCCTCCTAAATGTATTTAGTGATTCTTCACGATGGTTTTAACCCCAGGGTTTGAGTTGGCAATGGCTCCCAGTTCAATTAAAACCTCTGAAGCATTGCATTTGCAGTAAATAAAGGATAATGTGTGTGGGGGGGGAGGAGGGAGGAAACACGGTTCTGCATGGCTTGTTCTATTAAGAACATGGCAGCAACAAAAGAGCAAATGTACAGCTATCATGCGGGGAAAAGGAAAAGACCTCCCGGCTCCCACTGAACCTGCCTTTTCCTTGAGGTGCTCAGATCGGATGAAAGTTACCTTTGATAGAACGTCTTTCTGATGATTTCAAAGAATTTAGAGGGGGTGTCACATTTACTGCCCCAGAACGTGAGGGGGGGGGGGAAGGAACATTACCCCTATTTTACAGATGGAAAAACTGAGGCACGGACTCACTCCAGGTCTCACAGCCAGCTGTAGTAGAGAACGCCCGTCTCCTGGCTCCCAGTCCAATTTCCTATCTGCAGGATTATGCTGCCTCTCTTCACCCCCATCGTTGGTCCACCACTTGTCCTCTTGAAGTTTGATCTGGTTTAAAATGTGCCGTGAAGCTCCTAGTAAAGCACATGTGGAAAGCCCTGTGGAACTGGGACGGTGACACAAGGACCATGTCTTTGCACATGCACAGCCCCTAACAATGGAATGACGACCCTTGGAGAGCTCCATGTGCACTTGTGACTAGTCAGGAGAGACTACAATAAGGAGCTTGGCCTCACATGAGAGGCCAGAGGGCATTAAAGTAACATGCTCATTTGCTTGAAAATGTGTTATTTCAGAGAGGGACTGGACACACACCTGGAAAAAGGGGTGTGTGAGAAACATGAGGAATAACAAACTGAAGTTCTAATCTCTTTAATACACATACCTTTGGGGAAGCTTAATCCAGAGCCACGCCTGCCCATCAAACCCAGTTATACCCTACTACTAACCCATCCTGCTAGGGAAAGCATCTTACCAGCCAACAGAGTAAACATGAAAAAGTCTTTCCTATAAAACTTTATTCTGATACATAAAAAAATTCTATACATTTGTTAGACTAAAATACAGTTTGCATCAGTATTCTGCCACAGTCAGTTTACACAGAAAATCTAATATTAGATCAGAACTGTTAATTTCCCTTCCTTTCCCCATATACAATTTTCATTACGACACATTTCAGGTTCTCAGACAACAATGAACAGCGTCACGTTCACTAGTTTTATTCCAAAAGGAGGTGGCCTTCCATTGGAAAGAAGAGCACTTCTTAGTAAATGGACCAGCAAGATTCAACATTCACTGCTAATACACACCAAGGATTTGATTCCCCTTTTAGATGGAAGTGTGATCTAAACCAGGATGAAGTAGGGGGAAAGACTGTAACCGTGTCCTCTGCAAATACTTAAGCCATGTTTGGGCTGTAACACCAGCATTTCCAAACAGATTTTGACACACACACACACACCCCACCCGCCCCTTGTTCAGCGTCAAACACAGTAATTATCAGCGGAACAATCCAGCCAGTACGAAAATAATGCCAATCTGCTGGGATGTTTTCCTTATTGCCTACTTGCCTGAAAAAGCATCAAAGAGGAAAACCAACACTTGTGTCACTCTGCAATGGTACATAGTCTTTCTTAGCCCTGAGAAAATTCTGTGGGCTATCTGTGGACCTCCTTTATGCCTACGAAACTCAGTTCGGAAGGGCTCTAGCAATGCCCATCTGGCCGGTAGAAGTAGACGTCTCTTTACTGTTTTGTTCCAAGGGCCAACCGGTTTCTTTAGGTAGCAGAGGAGGATCAAGGTGCACCAATGGTAGGAAGCAGCAGAGAGCTCATCTTATGGTAACTAGTGCAGGATTCCTAGCCACACCTTGGGCCCCGGTCTCCCACTTCCACGGAAGGGAGGTGGGCGCAGGCAGGGCTGGATGCTGTAAACCCCCCACTTATCCAGGATGCCTAGCACATGCTACATAGGCTTAGCGGAAAGAAACAGGAGGCTATTGGAGAGGAAGGAGGTAGCACATTTCAAGAAAGATGTGGAGAAATTGGAGAAGGTCCAGAGAAGAGCAACAACAATGATTAAAGATCTAGAAGACACGACGTATGAGGGAAGATTGAAAGAACTGGGCTTGTTTAGTTTAGACAAGAGAAGAGTGAGGGGGAACATGATAGTGGTTTTCAAGTTCCTAAAAGGGTGTTACAAGGAAGAAGGAGAAAAATTGTTCTCCTTGGTGTCTGAGGATAGGACGAGAAGCAATGGGCTTAAACTGCAGCAAGGGAGGTTTAGGTTGGACATTAGGAAAAACTTCCTGGCTGTCAGGGTGGTTAAACACGGGAATAAATTGCCTGGGGAAGGGAGGAGGGGCATGGAATCTCCATCACTGGAGATATTTAAGAGCTGGTTAGACAGACACCTGTCAGGGATGATCTAGACTGTATTGGGTCCTGCCGTGAGGGCAGGGGACTGGACTTGATGACCTCTCAAGATCCCTTCCAATTCTAGAATTCAGTGATTCTATGATAAATTGTAGCACCGAGCCATAGGGCTCTAACCCACTCCTATTCTGGAGCTGTGTCTCCTCTCGACCACCTACTTTCTCCCATCACTCTCACAGTGATACCAAGGGGGCAACAACTACAGCCTGCACGGTGAGTGTGGAAGCAAACACGGCTGTGGGCCAGATTTTTAGCTGGTGTATAACTACAGCCTGCATGGTGAGTGTGGAAGCAGACCGGCTGTGGGCCAGATTTTTAGCTGGTGTAAATCAGTGCAACACCATTGCCTCGAGAGCTCCATTAACATCAGCAGCAGATCTGACCCTGTAAGAATGAGTGTTAGAAAATGTAAGGGCAGTACTATTCTGTCGTGTGCCTCCCCTTTCTCCTTGCCTTAGTCTTACCCACACCTCGCCTCACCTCTAAGAATAAACAGACAGTACTGGTCATCCATTTCCCTACTTGTTAAAGAGCAGGGGCATTAAAGAGCACCTACAGCCCTGTTGGAGCAAAACATAGACCCTAATTTACTGTGGACAGAGAGTTGTGGTTGGCCCCACCAGCCAGCCAGCAAGTCCCAGTCTTTTTGGTGCAGCATGAGACCACGGTGATGTAATAACTGTGCTAGGGTAGGTCTGTGTTTTTCTATCCATTCTCTCAGCTCTTCTTTTCTAGCGTTTCCAGCCTGTACAATAGACAAGCCATTTGAAGTGTAACTCATTGCCATGGGTGGGGTTGGGAAGAAACTGTTCCCCCAGCCAGACTAGCAGAGTTCCCTTCCTTGGCAGCACGGGACATTTTGGTTTCAACTAGAGTGAACAGTGGACTCCTTAGAAGGTGAAGTCTTTCAAGGAAGATTTGAGGACTTCTGACGTTCTGGCTGAGTTGCTGTCTAACAAGTCTGTTACAAAGAGAACATCCTTCAAAACGGCTTCTTGTAAACCAAGCCCCACTCAGATGTGTTTTACAATGCACCATGCACAAGTCTCTTCCCCATCTGTCTAAGGAATAGGAGTAAGGGCCTGCTTCTGCTCCCACTACATGCTAGGGTGACACTCCCTGTGACTTCCCTGGGAGCAGGCAGGGTCTAACCCAGGCACTGGTGACAAACATGAATAACGCCAGTGAAACAGGCATAGGCTGACTACCTGGGTCCTACTGAACCAAGTGTTAACTGCAGCTCATCTCCCCCTCCACATCTGTCTTTGCACAGATGTTTCAGGGAAGGAAAGCTGAAGGCTTCTTTTTCTTCTGCTCATGTTAACCTGCATTGCTCTTGTTAGGAATATAACTCCACATCAAAGAGCCCTTATTCACTGGCCTTTTTCTGCTGTGTCGTTTCTCTACCATACACCTGACTTTCACTCACCTGGTAAAGATCTAGCCAATCCCAACATTATAGTAAGTGCTGTATTTTTACATTAGGAATAAAGGAGGCTCACAGAGTGAGGTTTGGTGTTCCCTTTGACCTTCAACAGGAATTGGAGTTCCTAAATTCTTCTGAGAATCCCAGCAAAACACATTTTTACCTGCCCGGAGAAGCAGCATCTCATATTGTGCAAGTTAATATCTTGTGCAAGTTAATAACTTAGAAGAGATGAAAGCACTACTGTTTTACTGGTCAGTGATGCCTTTAACTGCTACAGCTTAAATAGAGAATCCTTTAAGGCAGTTTAAAATTGTCTACTGCCTGAAATTTAATCTGCCTGTGTCTTCCAAATACTTCTGAGGTCAAAGCATGCTTGAAATTTATTTACAACCATTGCAGTTCAGTTTTCAGGCCCGGAAATGGTTCTGCCAGAAGCTTGCAGCAGTCTTAGGTCTCTGTTAAGGTACTTGGTAATTTTTTTTTTTTTTTAAATAGATTTTCTACCAACTATTCTTACAGGATTTTGGCTGATTCGCTATGGAAATTCCAGACAATCGCCTCTGAAATTTCCTATTGAAACCAGCTAGATGAAGAGCATTATACTTTGCATGTTTTCCCCTTTGGGGAAATCTTGCCCAAAGGGTTTTAATTGTTCAAAAGCGATTTCATTCTTTAAGAGAATGTTAGGGGGACTAAATCAGTTTAAAAATAAATTGAGTCAAATAGCTTAATGTTAATAGAAAATTCTTTTCAAATATCACTGAAAACTGTCTTGGTTTGATTGCATTCTCCTGCCATGTTGAAGTTAAAATGTAGCACTGCGCTAGATCAATAGTTCTCAATGTTTTTCATAACACATCCCAGGCTATAGGCAAAAATGTTGAGAATCCAACCCTCTCTCTTCATAAAGGAAAGCAGCTTGAGAACACAGGTGGTAGACAGCATATGAAACACTTACTTGTCTCTGTCCTTTAGGGTAATAAGAAAACAGCAAGCATGAATACATTGTTTTAAAAAATACAGTTAAAAAGTGACTTCACCTGATGTCTGTGTTAGCAGAGTTTCAATGTGTTTCAGACACGTTTGTTCATTTTAGAGCTGGGTTTGGGAATATTAAATTGAAAAACTGCAGGCCTCGTTCAGCCTTAAACGTAGCTCAGGGCCAGATCAACCAAGAAGTTAGGAAACTGATGCTTAGATTTAGGAAAATAGTGACTGTAAAAGCACAGGCCAAGACTTTCAAAACTGGGCCCTTCAAGTTAGATACCCACTCTTCATCTGGTCCATAGTGCTTCTTCAAGGACTACTACGCAATACAAGGTACGATATGCATGTAAGACCAGAAGGATAACTGTTTGGTGATTATATACTATACAAAAGTCTGCTATAGGCATCTGACTTTGAATCCACAACATACATTCATAGAATCATTTTAACTGTTCGGAGCAAGCCATTAAAGTGCATGTCACGAGGGCACGTCAAAAAGAAACAAGTCCTGGCGAATCAGTTGGTCAAACATTTGACTCCGCTGGGACTCTGGTCTAACATTCTAAATAGAGAGAGGCATCTTGTTGCAAGGGAGTTGCTTCTTTGTGGGGAAAGCCCTTTCGAAAGGCAGTGATTGCCAGCGGAGGGGGTTATACAGAAACTACTGGAGGAAGCCCTAGATTGGCTGTGAGCAAATGGGGGCCGTAACCAAATTTTCTAGGTTGCAGCGAGTCCCAGTTAGGTGCTTCCCTTCTTGGTCACACTAAAAACAAGCCTTTCTTGAGCTACAGAGCCAAATGAAAGCTGTGCATAAAAACACAACACTGCCTCGGGGCACACTGGGTGCAACTTTAGGAATCAAACTAAGAGGAGGGACAGGGGATGTATTTTGTGTTGTTTGCATCACTGGCTTAGAGCCTAGCTGTGGAGCAGCACTGAGATCTAGGAAGTGGCAGTATCTCCTACTAGACATGGTGTGTGCAATGACTGCAACGAATGTGAGGAAGAGAAGATGGTCTCAGAATAAAGGGTGGGAAAGCACCTTCAATCACTCCATTCAGGCCAGGTGATCTCCTTGGGAAAGTGAGAATGCCTTTGGCACATGCTGAGGTCAGAGGGAAAACGGGGAGCTGACACTCTGCCACTCGGTGCCCTTATGCTGAAAGAGAAATGTAGAAACAAGAGAATTTCCTCTAGTGAGGGCTTGTCTACAATTTCTGGGGGTTGGTGTTACAGTGATCAATCCCCCGGTGGTCGATTTAGCAGGTCTTCACTAGACCCAATAAGTCGATTACTGATTGTTCTCGCTCAACTCTGGTACTCAACTGGAAAGAGAAGTGTAATGGAAGTCACCAGGAGAGTTTCTTCAATTGACCCCCAGCCTGTGGTGACTGGACCTAAGATACATCTACTTTGCCCTGTACTGTAGACCTGCTCTGAATGTGTTCTTTCTGCAGCCAGCACATTTTCCTCAAAGAAGAGGGAGAGGCAAGAGGAGCTGGACACTGCTTGGCCTCCACCTGAGGTGTAGCAGACAAGCCTTCTGGTCTTTCAAGCCCAAGTGACCAAAGCAAGGACTATGTTGCATAACGGGCTACAATCCAAATATGCTCTCATTCACCCAGGCTAAGATTTTAAATCCAAGCTGACCTGGCTGAATCTCTAACCCTTCTTGTTTAGGCAGAGTGAAGCTTCAGGGGCATCCTAAGGAGATGGCTTCCCCAACTTTACCCTTCTCAGCCACCCCTCACGAGTAAGTATTTCCTAGTGCAGCAGGGAATGGCAGCACTGACATGAGCCTTGATAACCGGATAAGAAGTGTCTAAATCCTTTATCACTGGCAGTGGCCAGCATCTCAGCTGCCACATACAGATTCTCCTGCAGGAGAACTCATATTCCTACTTTCATTTTCAGAACTTACTCTCCAAGCAGCTTTCTCTAGAGACTTGTTTATCACTCTCTCTCCACACACAAAGGAGGGACTAGAAAGGAAGAGGGCAGCTTGTAGTCTGCCACAAATGCAAGTTTCAAAGAGCATCCAAAACACTGAAGAGCCACTGGAAAGCCAGCATAGGAAAGGAATGCTTTGGAACAGCCAGGGCATGTGCGATAGTTCTGTAAGGCATGACCCTACTCTGTAACTGAAAAGCTATGCATGCTGCACCTACACTAAGGAAGGGTACGCATGACTTGATTAAGAACTTTATAATGATAGATACGTTTGAAAATGATTGCTACCCATACAAAAGTGCTGTCCATAACTTCTACACGCTGTGATAATAAAACCAATTTATTTGTAAAACAGGCCCTGTTATAAAAATGGTGCACAGGCAAGATATACAAAAATACAAAATTTGTTTCTGATTACAGTTCCAGTTGTAAGTTAACGGAAAAGCATCCTCCCCACAGCTTCCAGGGAGCAGAGAATCCAAACTTGTGGAACTTGTCTTGGCAGAAATCTGATGGTAGGTCATCAAAGTGAGCAGAACCCAAGACTTCCGCCTGGGCCCATCAAATGATATCTTCAGAAACAGGGTGTAAACTGCAGCTTCTGTGGAGCAGCTAGATACATGACAAATCCTTTCCTTAGCTTTAGAATCCAAATTCTCTGATCCTGCTGAGCCAGTATTTAACTTGCTGCCAAACCCCACAGATTTATGCAAGTATTTTGTGTCCATATTCCAGAGCTACAGCTGAGCCATTGCACTTTTGGCCACTTATGCAGATGAAACTCCTTCTGTGCACAAATTAAGGCTGCTCTAACATCTCCTAGAGGTCCTGACAGATGTATGTAATTTACATTGAGAGACATAACCAGTGCTCCAATTAAAATCCCAGACTAAAGCCCTGATCCAGTTACTGCTTACACAAGTGCAGAACTTTGTTTTCCCAAGCAGTCCTGTTGAAGTCAAAGGACCTACTTCTGTGAATAAAGCTATACAGCTGCATAAGTGTTTGCAGGATCAGAGCCTAAGCCAGTTTTTCCCCCTCAAACAGCTACAGTTTATTCATGCTGTTTGGTTTGGGTTATGAAAAGAGTAAATCCTTTTTATTAATCCTGATTTTTATTGCAAGAAGTCTGAAAAAAATTGAAGTATCAAATGACTTTTAGAAAGAAAACAGAAGTTGTTAGCTACCACCGGAACTGTTAAGAGCACTCATTAATTAAAAAAATACAGGATGCTTTTTACCTTCGGCAGCAGTTTAAAGGTCTGATCCTTTGAAAGGAAGCACATAAGCAAACAGTTGCGGATAAAAGCCTGGTGGCATTAATAATATGCTTCTCCACACACCCCTCTTTAATCCATTTGTCAAGCTTAGCTGGAAGGGCTGCTCTCTTTCAAAAGATTTTCTTGTATGGAGTGAACAAACCATCGAGGCATTATTTATTCTTACAGAGCTTGTATTTAGTGCAATAAGTTTAAAAATTCTGCTCTGAAATATTAACTTTACATTAACAAAAATAGTTTTCTTAAAAAATTGTAACAAAAAGGAGTATACAGCATGAACAGATCATGAATTCTTAGCAAATACACTAAAGCATTTACCATTACAATAAGCTGAACAATGGAATATTAGCATTCATATCTGGTAAGCTTCAGGAATGAAAATTTCTGAACACTCAAGAATAAAAATGAGCAAGTTCTCTTATGGTTACTGGATAACTTTAGATACCATGGCAGTGTCATTTCCAAAGAAATATTTATCTACCCTTTCCTGTTTTGCCCATCTGCTACAATACATACAAATATGAATGAGGAAACAGCCAAGGCCTGGCCATTTACATTTACACTTCCTAAATCTCTCTGGAGTTAAATGAAAAACATACAGTACTCTTTGTACAGTTTCTCTCTATGTGCCCAGCATCCTTACCTCTAGTCATGAATGAATCATGAGGAGTATGGCTAAGGCTGAGTTTTAAGGACCAGCTTGTTCAACTGCTCGTTTGTGAAGAATCCATACCCTCCAAAGGAGCCTTACTGAAGTGCAAGGGAGGCTACTGAACTCAAAGAGAAAAATAAAAATAAAATGGAAAACAGTTGCATATAAAACTCATCCTTTCCCATTTTCTAGTTTCTCTTTCATAGAAATGCAGGGGCTCCCACATTTAAATACCTGAGGAGTTGGTTATTTTGATAGCTGAACTTTATAAACAAAACTGAACGTGCAACGCCACTAGACCCCATTGGAGCTGGTGGGTACAAGGACTGACTGCAAATGAGTTATAATTATGACTCTCATTGAAACTCTTTTTAAAACACCTACAATTTGATTTTTTTTAAATCTGAAGCATCTCCTCAGAAGTCTGATATATTTGAGTTTAACTATAAAATCCTAAATGAGTTGATTTAAACATAATTCTCCATTACATTTCAATTTTGAGGGACACCTGATAAATCTGATACTCTAACCCACTGTATTGATTTAATTTTTTTTAAATAAGTGATTCCTCCTCTAGATTGTATCTTAATCAGATAAGAATCTTAACATTTCCATGACCACAATGATTAAAAAACGGAACAATGATAAAGTTGCTTGTAAAAGCCACCCGTATGAAAAGAGTACATGTTTCACAAAAATAATCGTTAAAAAAAGTATTAAATCCCTGTTCCTTTTCTGATTTTGGCTGCTTATTTATATATATTGTTTTGGAATGTCAATGGGTTCCATAATGGCTGGCTAGTTTCAAGATGAACTTGCTCCAGAGGCCTAGAAAACAAAGTCATACAGTACAGTCTTAGACAAATGTCAAAGGACAACTGAAGAAATTGAGCCAAAAGGATCACTACAAAGAGTAAAGTTTGAAACGCTTGTTCTTGAACCTAGACAGTCTCTTAAGAACTGACAACTCCTAAATGTTTCCACTCAGATTTTGAAGAAGTGTAATTTTAGGTAGCCATTTGCATTTCTGAACTAATCTTGAGAGATTCCCTCTGCTTTATAAATGAAGGATCTAAAGCAAAGCAGTGAGGAGCCAAACTCCCAAAGGTGACCTTTAATTTTTGGGTACTCAACTTTAGAAACAGAGGAAATGCTGGACCAGATCAAAACGATGGTCCATCTTGTCCAGTACCCTCTCTGACAGTGGCCTTCAGAGAAAGACGTAACAAACTTCACAGTAGGTGAATGTGTGATAACCTGCCCTAAATGAAGATTTTTATCTCAATCTGTACTAGTTAGAGATTGGCATCAACACAGAAGCATGAGGTTTTTAGATCCTTTCCAAAAGGTCAGCATTAACTAGCAGAGATCTGTGTGTCCTTGTTAGCCATACTGCTGATCGAATCCTGCTTTTGTGGACTCCTGCTGCTGAAATTGGGCACCCAAAAACTGGAAGCCACTCCAGAAAATATTGCCCCATAATTTGCCCAAGGCAACAAAGTTAGTATCAGAAGGGGAAATGCAATGTAGAAGTTCCTGCCGTCCTGTCCCCAACTTACACCATCTCTCAAGCAATCCTCTAAAAGGGACCGAAAGCGAACATTTCAAAACTTGAGTACTCAAAGTTACGTTCCTAAAAAAACAAAAAAGGCCCGACTTCCAAGGGTGCTGAGCATGCGCAGCTAGATCAACAGCCTTTAGCATCTCAAACCTGCAACATGCACTAGTTATGAAGTGGACATTACTTGATGTAAGCCAATACTTGGAATTGGGAGCTGAGTAAAAAGCTTTAGGTTAAATCTTTCATTGCTGCCTAATGGATTTGAACACCTAATTCCCTCTTATTTTAATGGGAGCTGTGCAGAGCCATAGATAGCTCTCAACATCCCAGCAGTAGCTTCAAATATTCACTTAGTTGAAATTACTCCTTGAAGAAAATGGTAGCTCATACATATGAAAAAACCTCCTTGATCTACGTATTTAGAAATACATCAGCACTGATGCTTAAACAAATACTTGAAGATGGAGAAAGGTCAGTTGTGACTAAAATGGTGGCCTTCCAGAAGACTGTGCAAGGGGAAGTTTGAACTAATCCACACAGGTCACAGTAAGTGAACAAAACCGCTGTCACCGGACTAAGTGTCTATATGCTGTGGAAACCGTATGGGAATTCCTCTGCACGGTTCTCAAGATGACAACAGTAACCAACTCTTGGCACCCATAATCATGACAGACTTTTTCTAACCTAGCCTGGAATGCTAAGACTGATTGTATAAATAAACTTAGCATAATACTCCTCACGGCTACAGAATTTATCAGAGAGAAAGAATTCCAACTTTCTAGTGAAAACACAGGCACAGCCCGGCTTTACAATTGTCACGTTAAAAAGGCATTTTCTACTATAAGGAAATTATTTGGATTTCATTACTTTTTATGATTTAAAAGAGTTACTACCTACTGTTGGAGGAATCAACGTAAACCCCACCCGATGGCAGGTATGGGCGTGACAGGAAACAGTGTTCTAGTGTTGCTATTAACAGAATCATCTCTAATTAGTTCAGTCCCCGTCTTCTATACACAGAAAGCCTGTCTCCCAGTTCTCCAAGTACCAAGATGGATAACTCCAATATCTGTGTTAGTTACAGATGTTCCTTATTACAGGCTACTTTCGCATGCGGTGCCTGTCAAACAGGCACAGTGTAAGTGAAAACAGGGGATGTTTAAGATCTCAGAAGCGTAAGTGATGCATTGTCCCTGTGTCTGACAAAGTAGATGGAAATAGAGAGTGCAAGAAACAGCAACATAAATAGTTAGCAATAAAACAAACAACTGGGAGAAATGTTATTTTAAGCAGGTTGAAAGGACTCACTGTATCCAATCCCCTGCCACCGTCTGAAATCATTTGGTGTGACCCCAAAAGTGCCTGTCCCCATTGTTTGAGCAGACAGCTCCAAAGTGTCTGTCAGGCTTTTATATGGCACAAAGCATTAACAATTTAGTTCACCATGGAAAGAGGATTACATTGGTTTACCCTAGTAATTAATTACAATCTCTGCCTCACAGATCTTACAAAATAAGATGACTGTCTTTTGTACGTGCCACTTAGCATGTTGTGGGCATGAATGCAATTCATTTCATTCTTACACTGTATTGCTATTTCACAAGATACAGTTCCTTTCAGCTTACTTTTACAGGAGATGGTCTCAGCTGTGACAAAAACTCTGCCATCCAGGTGATAGGCAAGCTCACAAACAGAAAAAGCAGAACATCTTGAGTGATACAAAGCACAAAAACTTCCCCTGAAGAAGTGCAGTCAGTAAAGACAGAGAGGGAGAGGAAGTAAAAGTGAAATTCTTGGAGGATGGCCACCTCCTCATCTGCACCTACCATTGGTTTTAGCTCTCTGCCTTCAGCTCCACCTCCCTTGCCAGCTTCTTTCATTGATTTTCTGCTGTTCTCCACAAACTCCTGCAAAGTAAATCAAGTGGCTTAATGGTTCTTCCTCTGGCAGTATACTGAGAGGTACAGCTAGGGAATGTGCAAACTATGGTTCTCCTATAAAATTCCCTGGTGTCACAAAAAGGTATTTGTGCCCCAAGAAGTGAATACAAAAGCAAGAACCATCACCTCCCTCTCTCTCTTTTACCCTTTGGCACTCAGATTTCCCATACAGAATAAAAAGAAAATCCTTACAGACAATACTAACTAGCCCATCTGTAGAGCCTAGCACATTTACCATGACCCCAACCATCCCTGGCTTCCACATTCTGATGACTGGCACAAAATCAATACAGATCCCAGCCACTGTTTTCTGCCCAGTGAAAACAGTATGTGGTGTTACAACTGTCTCCCGCTCCTGGAACAGAAAAAACCCACTGGGATTGTTTTACTTCTAGCAATGCCTTCTTCTTTTCCCCATAGCACACATCTTCCCAAAACTATTCCATATCCAGGGGTTCATCTTGTGAGATTATTTCTTCCCATGGACATCGCCTTCCCCATTTTTTTAAAACATTAAAATGGAAGCGACCAGTGTATTAGACCTGCTATTAAAGAGACCAACAGATACACTACAGTCCTGTAGTCTTTCAATCCTTCTTTCTATTGTAAATGTGCAAGCATCATGTAAGAAGCTTTTTTTTTTTATGAGTTCTATGCCCCTAGTATCTACTGCACCCCTTAGTTGGCGACAGAACTGTAAACAATCTAAACACCAATTCTCTGCACATTTCTAGATCTCATATGCTGGATTAGAGAGAGTGATTTTACTAAATTACAGAAATCAGACTATTAAGAATAACTGAATTTGAGTCTCTCTGTAGCTTATGCATGAGAGTGCATTTCACATGAAGTGAAACTAAGGCCATATCTCCACTACCACTTATGTCAGCAAAACTTACGTCACTCAGGGATGTGGGAGAAAAAACCCACCCCAATGAGACATAAATTGGGCCAGCATAAATGGCAGTGTGTCCAAATTCTCTCGCCAACATAGCTATTGCCACTCAAAGGGGGTGGTTCAATTATGTTGATGGGAAAGCTCTCCCTCGTCGGCACAGATCTCTCACGTAGCCACCCTTACAGCGGCGCAGCTCCAGTGGCTGCTGTAACTTAATTGTGACAGGGCCTACTTTGTCCCTGTCAAATGAGGTGCTGATATCAACTCAGGCTCAGAGACATACTCCAGGAAAGGGCTGTCAGTGCAGCTGTTTGAGGACTGTCTAAGCCAAGTCTGGTCTCTTGGCCTGGGTAACCAACCCCAACCTGTGCCTCGTCCCTTTCTCTGTGACCAAGAGAAAGATCTCTCAAAATGGCTGACCCTGGAATTTCTGTGCTGAATGGCATCAGAAGCTTGCACTAAAGCATTTAGAGAGAGCAGAGTTCCTTTGACTTGAGGAAGAGGGGAGGAAAACTAACCTACCATGAGAATTTTATCCATGTAGAATTCTCTACCGGGGCTTCCATCGTTGTATTTTGTATCAATGGCAAAACATAAGAAGAGGACGTCCACGACCATTTCATAAATCGACAGGAAGCAGTGGGCAACCAGAAAAGCAAAGAGGCAGACGATGATAAGAGGCAGCACCCACACTGTGTAATCCCGCTGGTAGTTCAGCAGCATAACCCCCGCCAAGCCTGTGCTGCAAACAATCAAGACCTGAAGCAAAGAAAACAAAGACAACAATGATGGCAGAAGCCAATGGAGTCTTGTGTGAGGAGACACACACACACGCCTTTTATTCTCATGGGCACCGACTCCACCACAAGTCACTGAATGCTACCTAAACCCCACATGTCCCTTACTCCAGCCATATTTGCTTTCAGTGCACCGAGAATAATACTATCTTCTCAACTACAAAGCTGCCACTCACCCATCCTTCCAGAGAGAAACAGATACCCTAGTAAGAGAGAACCGTATGATTTAGTCAAATTATCAACTCCTGAGGGCAGCGACCATTTCTAGGTCTGTACCTTGTACAGAACATAAATATTAATATAAGCAGATCCATCAACTAATATGCTTTATAAAAGTTTTGATTGCAGAGATGCACTTAGCCAAAATATCCCTTCAGCATTCTCCAGCCCCTCCTTTTGCAACAGGAAGGCTGCCAAAATTACATGGTGTATGCAGTCTCTACTGTAAACCGAGCCTTTTTTCCTCTCTGATCTAAAAGCCATTTTTTCATGGAGATGTTTTCTGGCATGTTAGACTACTCCACAGAACTGCACTGTGCACGTCAATACCCCCAAGGGACTTGCATCTTCATTATGCACTCATTCCCATTGCACTCTATTGATTTGTTTATTTACTGGATTAGAAAACCTCACTTAGAGTTCAGCCTGCTGTAATCGGGTGTAATAAAAGGAGAGGAGTGAAGAGAAGATGGACAGTTCATCCCACGGACGGACCAAATGCTGACTAGCACTTATGGAGCAACAACTGGGCTCTGGGTTTTCATAAAGCAATAGACAATTGAGCTGTAACAACGGTTCTTAGTAACCTTTTTATCCTGAACATACTTGGTATCCACTCTTTGCTCTTTACCCCCACAGCAGGCAACTCCTAGCTGCCAGTACAAGGTCCTGCTGCCTCCAATTCCATCCCTCCTATGAGAGCTGGTTGAAAATGTCTGAACTTCTTTCTAAAGGCAAACTAGGGGGTTGATTAAAGAAGGTGTATGGGGAAGTGTCTGCTTTCCTTACATTTGAGGTTTTTCACTGGCAAACCAAAAACTTCTGGCCAGGCTTTTTTCAGCTTACACTTGACAAAGGAAATGGGAGCTAGACTGGTTTTATTGAGAGGAAACTGGAATTTTCAGCAGTACTCCCCCCCCCCCCCCCCCCCACCCACCTTTTTTTTTTGCACTTCCCTTCCCTGCTCAGTTCCCTCTAAATCACATTCCTGACAGGAGGCAGCAGGACGGGATGGGTCACAGTGCCAGGCAGTGGGAAATCAAGCACTTAGGCACACTGTAGCTGGAGAGCAAGAGGGGGGGAAGGTTTCTGACAGCAAGCAGACTTGTCCCAAACAATACAGCACAAGCATACCTTTCCCAGGAACAGCATGAAGTCTCCAACTGTATTTATGGCAGGGGCCAGAATGACAAAGGCATCCTTTGCTGAGGTGCAGAAGTTGGTGCTATTGATAGCTGTGGCTGTATATGCATTCTGGGGAAAAGCAAAATCTGGTTTAAGTCACAGACAATGTCCCTTCAACATTCCCTCAAGTTCTAGTTCAACATCTATCTTGGAGGCCCTACCAAGAAATCACCTGCTATAGCAACAAGACTTTCTTCTCCCATTCTCTTCCATTCACACTAGAAGGCACTAAGTCATGTGACGCTGGATTTAATAAGGGATTTTTAAAAGTACAAATTTAATCAAGAAATACTGAGCACTCAGTAAATAGGACTATGTAGCACTTTAAAGACTAACAAGATGGGAACTTTCATGGGCCAGACCCACTTCCTCAGATCAAATAGTGGAAGAAAACGGTCACAACCATATATACCAAAGGATACAATTAAAAAAATGAACACATATGAAAAGGACAAATCAAATTTCAGAACAGAAGGCGGATGCAGGGGGGGAGGTAAATGTCTGTGAGCTAATGATATTAGAGGTGATAATTGGGGAAGCTATCTTTGTAATGGGTAAGATAAATAGAGTCTTTATTCAAACTTAGGCGTAAAGTGTCGAATTTAAGCATGAATGACAGTTCAAAGGATTCTCTTTCAAGTGTAGTCTTAAAAGGCCTTTGAAGCAGGATGCAGGTAATCAAGTCGTTGAGACAATGTCCTTTCTGGTTGAAATGGCAAGAAACTGTTTTTTCTTTGTGATCCTGTCTAATATCTGTTTTATGGGTATTGATCCTTTGGACTTAGTAGGCTCCATCCCAGAATTAGAAAGGAAAGAAACTGTGTAATGAAAAATCCTGTTGGCGTTCACTGCTGATTTCATAAACAAAAGCGGTAGGCAAGGATTTGTGCTGGCTTTTGAGCCACCTTGATGCTGCTAAACCAAGTTCCCCCAGGCAGTGGCTGAATCAAAAGACAGGGAATAACCATTTTTCCACCTGCCTTGCTTATCCTTGCCACATATTTATCAGTTTCACACCAAAATGTTAATAGTAAAAGAAATGGAATCTTTCCGTGGGAGGTTAACATTGACGTTACTTCCAAGTTAAGCAGCTGGGCAAAATTACATGCATATCTCCCTCGGGTCATACAAAAGATTGAGGGGTCATGTGTTTCAGGAAAGTTCCTTTCAGCATTTCTAATTCTGCCCTGCATCACTGAATAGGTAAGCCAAGGGTAACAAAGACAATTTCCAATAATTACACACTTAATTAACAATCTTCATCGAGACAATTAAAAAACAAGGCCTGGTAAGGACAGAACAGGTCTATGCCCAGGCTGCAACTTCATGGATTGCAGTATAGCTTTGTCTGGTAGTTTCATCATAATTCTGGAAACCAAGCTCCAAATAAAGCACCTTCCGAAATGCTATCTCGTGTTTTTTCAAGGAACAGAAGTTCTGTGCAATTTTAATCTGACCCAAGGGAATACTTGCTTACAAAAGGCAGCTAGGTTCACAATCATGTAGGTTTATGAAGCCGAATATGGAAGACTTCCATTATGCAGAATGTATCAAATTCAAGGAACAAATTGAACAATCATACAAACTATAGCACACTTCTCCCAAAGAAAGAGATATGACTAAATGCATCACAATTCACAGTCATTGCCCTTCGTTACAGATTGCTACATTCAAGTTGGGAGGAATAGTCCCCAGCCCAGGCAGATGTACCTGTGACAGCTCTGCTCAAGCTAGCATACTAAAAATACCTTGAGCCAGCTCCCCAAGTACATACTTAGGGTTTCAGCCATGGCTGGACTTGGGCACTAGCGTGATCTGCCATAGCTATGCTGCTGTTTTTAGCATGCAAGCTCATGCAGAACTAATGTGTGTACATCTCTCCGAGATGGGAATTACACCTCCCCTCTGGTGTGCAGACATAGCCTTCGAGCAAGAGGGTGACTTAACAGAAATACATTCTCTCAAATGTGTGATGCTTACATATTAAAAAGGAACAAAAAGCTCCACGCTCTGTTACCATAAATACACTTTCAAACTTAAATATGATGGGGAGAGTGAGCACTGGGGGTCAGGGGTTGTATTCAACCATTAAACTCTAATGCTGCATTGCTTACACACGATGAGTCATTTTTAAAGGACAAAGTATCTTTTCCAGAAAAAGGAATTTGGACAATTTTTCACCCAGGCACTGCAAATGAGGACGAATGTAATAACCTCAGTGAGATCACAATGTACTTTAATTTCAGGAATGGGAACATGATTGAAGTACGTAGGTTCAAGCCATTCCAAAGTACAATTTAACATGTGTCAACGTAAGGAAAAAATTACTCCATCTTCTGGTTTAAGGCTAGCCTTCCTCAATCACCTAAATTGACAGCCTTTATATAAAAAGTCAAAATATATAAAATCTCACCTGATTTAAGTAAGTCAGGCACTTTTCCAGACACCAAAGGCAACAGATGCAAGCTTTCAGCATACATCGAGCACAGGCATTTTCCTAGCGTGGCAACAAGGGGGAGGGAAAAAAAACCAAGTACATTAACAAAACCCCAAAGGACAAAGAACACTAACAACCATTAAGTCTAAATGCATGGGCTCTACTTTAAGTGCTGAATATTCTGAAGTCAGCCCTGAAGTTTCATGAAAACACACATTCCCACCCAGCTAGACTTACTGTTTTAGTCAAAATTTAGGGTCAATTTTCAAGCTTTTGGACCCAGTATTTTAATAGGTAGGAAGTTTCCCTTACTTTTCCTTTGAGTTGGGAATGAATATACATTAGGATCATCCGTGGGATCTTCACTAATGTGATAATGAAAGAACCTTTTGCCACTGTTCCCAGGTGGTAACAGATAAGGCGATTTACTGATGCCAGAATAGGAGTAAATGGCAGATTCCTTTTCTCCCTGTGGAAAATCATCAGAGAAAGGAAATAAAGCAATATCATCAATATGGACTTCAGGTGAGACAAAACAGTTACAGACACATTCTGACTGAATTTGCAGGTGAAAAGCAATTTGGTGGTCTCATTCTAGTCTTCAGAGGACACAGCTCATGCATGCATTGAGAAGCAGGGTCCATACCAGTATTAGCTCTAATTTAATAGAAGGACAAGGATGAGTCATCAGCTGAGCTGAGAGAGGACACTTGCCTGTGCTATTGTTATATCTAACCAATGAATATTTTTAAGCTTGAATCTTTTATGAATGTCTTTTTCAGGCATTTTAAGTCTTCCCCTCTCATTCCCCAAGTTTATTTTAGGATTTTCCCTATTTTATATATTGAAAAAAACAAATATGCATTCAGTACACAAAAGCCATTTTCAGACCATTCATATTTCTCAATATACTTATCCACACACCCAGAGAATCAGGTATTAAAACAAAATATGGTTCTGTAACAATACATTTATTTATAAGGATGTATGTATAAGATGAGCTGAATGCACATTCAACATCTTCAGATACTGCTTTTCAGAGATGTATTCTTATAATTCATATTTGTTTCTTCTAAACAAGCTATCGCTACTTCCCACTATTCGGCACTTAGTGAAAGAACACCGGCAAGCATTAAGAAAATAAGCAATCAAAAAAGTACTAAAGGCTTCATGTTAAAACTGCCAGTGTTCCAATAATAAAATGCTTCCCCTAAATTTAGGGAAACTTATTCTTAAGGTGGTTTCAGTTGCAAAAGATAAAAAAGTGGCACCTTCCAGCCCTGCTCTCTGCTTGCACTGAGTCATGCTGACTTCAGTGAGAAAGGTAAGTTTTTACAACTTTCTTTTTATCCTGTTAGCATTGTAGAGTCAGTTTTTAGTGTGCTGGAGTCCATTTCTTCTTGCAAAACAATGTATCGAGTTCTAACTTGTTACACCTGTGCAAATAGAAGAAAGCAAATGGCTTGTACAAGTGTAACTGAGGCCCTAATATGGCCAGCAGGACCTTACGTCAAGGCTCGGAAGCATTACATTTTTACCAGCAAATGTTGATAAATGTCAATTTTACCAGTATATACATAAAAATAATGCCATCCATCACAGACATTTACAACATGGCAGAGTAAGAAAAATGCTGCTTTAGTATTTATCTGAGTTTACTTTAAGGATGTTTGATTTGTATGTTTTGATAGGGGCTTGTGTTTTAATAGTTATACAAGCTTAAACTGTCTGATTCTCAATGTCTACTGCCATTGAATAATTCCCCCATCAGCCTCAATGGTGAAAATTTAAATGAATAAAGATTGAAAGAAATACTTGAAATAAACATTGATATTATCCATCAACATATTTTTATTAATAATATTATCACTCCAAATTCGGCCAACCCTACTTATGACAAGTAGTATTACATGAAATGCAAAGAACCCATCTTGGCTTTAGAGCGCTGGGTGAGTGCGCAGGACTGGCAGTTCAACAAAAGTCTTTCTATATGTAAATTAAGCTCACTTGAATCTAGAAATCATTGACAATGACATGAAACCTCAGTATACCATTTTCACAAAGTCATTTTTCAGACAAGAACCATGTTTTAAAATGCAGGAAAGCAAAGTAGTAGAGGGACATGGATCTTTTGTAACTCAAAATTCCCATTAAGGGATGATGGATGGGGAGCAGGTAAGAACAAATTCATTTACCTTCAGGTAAAATACAGTTAATCAAGTCAGATGCTGGAGATGCAAAAGATTTCTGAAATCATCTGGCCCGCCCCCATGCTGGTGCCAGACTATTCCTGCCTACTGTGTATTTCCTAGTTATGTACAGGTTGGACCTCCTCTGGTCCAGCACTCTTGGGACCTAAGTGATGCCGAACCAGGGAGTTTGCCAGACCAAGAGAGGTGAATGCTCCCCTCCTGGCCCTCACTCCCAGGCTCCCTTCCTGGCCGTCAGCCTCACCCTGGGCCACCAGCCCCAATCACTGGACTCTGCTCCTGGTCCCGCCAGGACTTCCGGCCACTCTGAGCTTGTGGCCCCAGCAGGGCACGAGCCCAGGCACAATCCTGGCCGTGCTCCTATTCGCGGCCCAGCTGCGCTCCTGTCCCTGGCCACAGGCTCCCAGATGCTGCACTCGTGGCTCCTAGTCGCTGGCCGCCCTGCACTCCTGGCTCTGGCTAAGCTCCCAGCCACTGGCCCCCCCCCATTGCCAGACTCCCAGCCAGCCTCTGCTCCCATCCCTGATATGAGTACAGCATGATTTATAAATTAGGACTCATGCACAGTGATGGCACATGGAGATTTAATACACGCATTTTGCTGCACTTGAATATTAGTATAGAATCGTGCCTGGATCCATACGACAAGGATGGCTCTAACAGGACTTTCTGTAATCTTAGGAAACAGACAAATGAGTGAATGGAAAGAATTAAAGAACTGTATTTTCAATTAAGTAATCCCAGGCAATTAGCGCCAATTATCTTTAATTTAAATGGAGCTTATTAGCTTTCATACCAAAAGGAGATGAATGTGAAAAAGCTTTCTACTTTAAAAAAAAAAAAAAAAAAACTTCTTTGTGTATATGGGACATAGGAGCAAACAAGACCATGGCGCTTAACATCTCAGAAGCAAAATGCAGGACAATGTAGCACTTTAGAGACTAACAAGATGGTTTATTAGATGATGAGCTTTTGTGGGCCAGACCCACTTCCTCAGATCAAATAGTGGAAGAAAATAGTCACAACCATATATACCAAAGGATACAATTTAAAAAAAATGAACATATGTGAAAAGGACAAATCAAATTTCAGAACAGAAGGGCGATGGGAGGGGGGAAAGGTAAATGTCTGTGAGCTAATGGTATTAGAGGTGATAATTGGGGAAGCTATCTTTGTAATGGGTAAGATAGCTAGGGTCTTTGTTGAGACCCAACCAGAAGCTTCAGGATCTCTACCAAGCATTTATAAACCTCAACTACCCACCCGGAGAAATAAAAAAGCAAATTGAAAGAGCCAGACGAATACCTAGAAACCATCTACTTCAAGACAGACCCAAGAAAACCAACAATAGAACACCACTTGTCATCACCTACAACCCCCAACTTAAACCTGTCCAACACATTATCAATAAACTACAGCCTATATTGGAACAGGATACCATACTCAAAGAGGCTCTGGGAGACAGACCCATAGTCTCCTATAGACAACCACCTAACCTCAAGATGATTCTTACCAACCACCACAGGACATACCACACTAATACCAACCCTGGTACCTTCCCTTGCAACAAACCCCGTTGCCAGCTTTGTCCACATATTCATTCTGCTGATACCATTATTGGACCTAACCAAGTGAGTTATAAGATCAAGAACACATATTCCTGCGCATCCAGAAATATAATCTATGCTATCATGTGCCGAAAGTGTCCGTCTGCTATGTACATTGGACAAACATCTCAGACACTTCGCCAAAGGATTAATGCCCACAAAACAGATATCAGACAAGATCACAAAGAGAAAACAGTTTCTTGCCACTTTAACCAGAAAGGACACTCTCTAAATGACTTAGCCACCTGCATTCTGCTACAAAGACCTTTTACATCTGCACTTGAAAGGGAATCCTCTGAACTGTCATTCATGTTAAAATTCGACACTTACCACCAGGGACTTAACAAGTCTTTGAACTTTCTCACCCATTATCAAGACAGTTTCCCCAATTATCACCTGTAATACCATTAACTCACAAACATCCCACTCTCCCTACCTTTAATATCAGCAATTCACAGACACTTACCTTCCTTCCTCCCCCTTCCCACCCCCCCGCCTCCTCCTTCTGTTCTGCAATGTGATTTGTCCTTTTCATATTTGTTCATTTTTTTTAATTGTATCCTTTGGTATATATGGTTGTGACTACTTTCTTCCACTATTTGATCTGAGGAAGTGGGTCTGGCCCACGAAAGCTCATCATCTAATAAACCATCTTGTTAGTCTCTAAAGTGCTACATTGTCCTGCATTTTGCTTCAAGTACCCCAGACTAACACGGCTACATTTCTAACATCTCAGAAGTACAGATAATCAGCTAATTACACTATTTTGAGTTCGCTTTTGCTTTCCAGCTTCCAAGAACACATCTGCTCATTTCAACCACAAACTTTGGCCCTAGCGATATTTGTTGATTCAGTTACAAAGTCTCTTAAGAAAAAGCAGTCTGAAATGTTCTCACCTTGTAAAATAGTACGTCACAACAGCTCCAGCTACAGTCATCTGTTGACACGCTAGAATAAATTCACTGATCCAGATAAGTCCTACAACATGGTACCACCACATGTATTTCAGAGGACCCAAAACCCGGAATTCCACAAATCCTTGTTCATTTGAGACAGGGCTACCTAGGAACAAATCAGGAGAAGGAGGCAGATAGTATTTACAACAATAGCTCAGAAAAAAGGAACCATTTGTATCTCACCTAATAACTCTGAATCATTTAATGAGCCGACAGCTCCTAATAAAGCACTAACATCAGTGTCGCCAGACAGCCAGCTGATAAAGGAGATGACATTGTTGGGTCAGTCCACAAAAATCTTAATTACTATTAATGATGGTGCTGAAGAAGGATTTTAAAATTCTCCACAGCAAACTCACCACCCAACAACTTTAAAAAAAAAAATGTTAGCCACAAGGCAATTTGGAAAAAATAATATCAGAATGAGTTCTTATTCCAAAATGTAATGAAGGAAATCTCAATTTTCTGCCCCTACCTTTGTATAAATAACATTTCTTCCTTATGCGACTTATTGAAAGATTGTAATTAGTATTTTTTCATTAGATCGAACAACATTAATGGTCACCTGTATCTTGACGATGCAAGTTTTTCTGCATGTTTTGTGTCTGTATGTAAATAACATTCTATTTGCTAGAAATACTAGCAGTTTCAGAAGATTTTTCCCAAAGAATTTTATACATATTTTAAAACCCAACAGACTTGTCTGATCCAAGTAGCACTTTCACATGAGCTCACTGACATTGTGTCAGGTTTTCCCCAGGCGATGGATGCTCTATTTCAAAAAGCATTAGCACTCACGATGGAGGTCTCTCTCACCCATCAAAAGATGTGAACAGCAAAAGAGATTCAGGAAAATACAGAGAATGGACAAAGCAGGTGCATAACACAGATTCCATTTGAAAGCCATTAATGTTTTCACTTAGGTTTGCACAAGATCTCTTAACCTTCTGTGAATGGTTTAATCTTAATCTTGAAATCTTAATCTTTAATCTTGGAAGTCAAACAACACTATCAAAATAATTTTGTTTGGCATAGTTGAATTACTATTTGGAAAAACAAGCTTTTTCTGACTCTTTTAGAAGTGTTCTGCATTTTGGCTGCTAGCAGTCTGTTAAATATGGATATACAGCATGTATGGCCGTGCTACGGCAAAGACTTAAATTTAATACAAAACACTTTGTCCCACTGACATCATTGTAGCTACTCACAGTTCATAAAAACTAAGCATATGCAGTACTCCTTGCTGGATCATGACTGTGGGTACAAACAATTCAACCTGAGCAAAGCTTTTTCCTTATTATAACCCAAACTTTGGCTCTGATGATGCAGAACTGGGACCTCAACCATTTTCAGGTTGTGACTCTCTGTTCTCCAGATAATAAATATCATATCAAATAAACTTATAACAGTACAACAACAAAACCAAAGACAAATTCTATTAGCTCTGTCCCTTATTAAAAACTGGGCCAAAAAACCCCCAAATATTTTCCCCATAGTTAGGCTGAAACAGTTATATGATCTAAAGAGTGTTAAAATTACTATATTGCATTAGAGCAGTTGTGAAGTAATTGTTACAACATTTCAAATATCAGGTTCCTATAACACCTTCTCCTTAAGCTTCTAGCTAGAATCCTGCATATTCACAGAGAGAGGAGTGGATACCTGTACAGGGCTCTTTCCCCCCCTTCCCTCTCCTGATCCCTCTAAATATGGAGGGGAACAGAAATTAAATCTCTCAATATTTTAAATAGGACATTATTTCAAAAGTTCAATGTCTGAAAATAAAATCAAATGGATGGACTGAAGTTGTACATTTCCTGACCCAAAAAAAAAAAAAAAAAAAAAGTCTCAACTGACATACTGGCATGCTTCTTTTGCATTTTATTTGCAGAGTTACAGAAATTAATGAGACAGCAAAAAAGAAGACATGACCCAGTTTGAAAGCTCCCCTTACAAGATAGCTAAATATTTCCCCAGCATGGGTAAATCCATGAGTGGCATAAAGCTGACACAGTGAATTCTTCGCCTTCCTTTCCTAGCCCCCCGGCGGTATATGGAGTATGCCATAACCAGAACCTACTGTTTTCAAACAAGTCCCAGCTACTGTGACAGTCTCATGGAGATTTACTGCTTACACGTGTAACAGCAGCCCTGCAGCTGCTCTTCTTCATAACAAAAACAGTGATAGGAAGTTACTTCCAGAGCACCAATGAATATTTTCACACCTGAACACAGATGTGCACAAGAACACAGTAATCTCTCTCAGTACTAAAGTACTCACTGTGCTCAAAGTATTCAGAAAGTCACTCAAGCAGAGATATAGAGGAGCAGAACAATTCTTATTTTCTAACTGTGATAGAAATGTAGCCTTGTTAGTCTGGGGTAGCTGAAGCAAAATGCAGGACAATGTAGCACTTTAAAGACTAACAAGACTAACTAATAAACCATCCTGTTAGTCTTTAAAGTGCTACATTGTCCTCTATTTTCTAACTGTAATTATATCTAAAGTCTACGAGAAAGTACCAATGTTTATTTAAAAGAAACAATATGGTCACATACCTGTAGTGCCAAGGAAAAGCAGGACCATGATCCAGTAGCTCCAAAACAGGATGAGGGCAAAGAAAGTCCAAAAGGGCTGGAAGACTAGCAGTGGCAGGTGAATGAAAACCTTGCCAGCCACGTGGAACAAGGCAATGGTGAGAGCTACTCGCTTGCGCATAATTAACATTATCAAGAACAAGATAACCTGGGGAGAGAAGTTTCCAACTGACATTTTAGGTGATGAAAAGCAGACCATCAGGTGCAGTAAATAATACAAGATCTTCAAGAAGAGATCAGTTTGCCTAAGGCCTATCCACAAGTTTACACCATTTAATCACACAGTTTGCCTAAGGCCTATCCTCAAGTTTACACAATGTAATCCTGCATCAAATATTTAGAGGTCAGGTTATCAATACAAACTATTTTCGGTGACTCCAGCTATCTTTAAAATTACATTTTTGAACTGACAGACTGACAAGACCATATACCAAATTCTATCACTCACCTACATTGTGCAACCCAGTGAAAGCAACAGGATTGTACAGGTGCATGCAAGGGCAGAATGTGGCTACCGTATTTTCCGGTGTATAAGGCTACTGGGCGTATAAGACGACCCCCTAATTTTTTAGTTAAAAGATAGGGTTTCGTCTT